CTGCACATGCTGCACACTACATGGGGCACATGCTGCACGTACTGCACACACTGCATGTGCTGCATACACTGCATACATGCTGCACACACTGTAGACTGCTGCACACACTGCATACACTGTACACACTGGATATGCTGCATACACTGCATACACTGTGTACATGCTGCACACACTGTAGACTGCTGCACATACTGCATGCACGGTACTCACTGCACATGCTGCTCCTGTTTCACATGCTGCACACATTGCACAAGCTGCACACTACACACTGCACACACTCCACATGCTATACACTGCACATGCTGCACACGCTGCACACACTGTACACCGCTGCACACTCTGCACACTACACATATTTGTACATGCTGCACATGCTGTACACTCTGTATATGCTGCTCATGCTGTACACACTGCACATGCTGCAAACACTGAACATGCTTGCACACACTGCACACTCTTCCCACTACACACTGCACACACTACAGACACTGCAGTGCTGCATACTGTATACTACATGCTACACATGGTGTACATACTACACATACACTGCACATGCTACATACTGCACACACTAGACACTAATGGGGCACAGGCTGGACATGCTGCACACTACATGGGGCACACACTATACACACTGCACATGCTGCACACACTGCACACTACATGGGGCATATGCTGGACATGCTGCACACGCTGCACATTCTGTATACTCTGTACATGCTGCACACATCACACACGCTGCACACTGCAAGCACTGCATATGCTGCACACACTGCACACTACATGGGACACACACTGCACATGCTGCACACACCACACATGCTGCACACATCACACATGCTGCACACTGCAAACACTGCACATGCTGCACACACTGTACACTGCATGCTGCACACACCACACATGCTGCACACTGCAAACACTGTACATGCTGCACATGCTGTACACTATGTGCTGCACACACTGTAGACACTGCATGTGCTGAGCACGCTGCATAAAGGCAGCCAGCTGTTTCCCTCCTGGGATTAAACTTTGTTATGTAAGAATGTAGGGATCTTGTCATTTATTTTATGACAAAAATGCCCAAGAACAGAGTATTAAGGAATGGCTTGCTCATCAGAACCATATCCCTCACAGTGAGAGAAGATATCTGGAAGGAAATTACAGGTTCCACTGAGATTTGAACTCAGATCACTGGATTCAAAGTCCAGAGTGCTAACCATTACACTGCAGTGACACCTTTAGGCTCATTTTTTTATAATTTATTTTTTGAAACTTTATATATGAACATTGCATCTATATCCCTCTCATCTCTCCCTCTCCTCTCAACTTTTTCCATGTCTTCCTGTCTCCCAAACTCATGATCCTGTCTTTTAAAAAGTAATGTTACATGTATACACATACATATATGTGTGTGTACACAAGTAAATGAATGAACCTAATACATTTGTTTATTTACTTACTTACTTATTTATATTTTGGGGTTGTCTGAGTTTAAAAGCATATAGCGCCAGCATGTAATTACAGCTGTTTGGGCAGGAATATGAGCGTAAGACTGGCCTTATTATGGAGTGAATTAAAGGGAAGTCTGAATAACTTAGTGGAATCCTGGGTCAAAATAAAATGTTTTTAAAAGTGGGGCCAGGGAAGTGGCTCAGTGTAGAGCATTCGTCTAGCAAGTGCAAAGCCTTAGGTGTAACACACACACACACACACTCTCACACACACACACACACTCATACACACACCCTCACAATACTCTCTCACATACATACAACATTCACACACAGCCACACACACATTCACATATGCACAGATTCACATACACACGCATACTATCTTATTCTCACATGTGTACACACACAGAGGCACACATATTCACATGAAGACTCATACTCTCTTTGTCTTTCTCTCTCTCTTTCTACACACACACACTCACACACACACACACACACACATCACACTCTCACACACTTGGAATAAATTGATCAAAGCTGAATATGCCGGCTAGCTAGCAATCCCGGGTAAATGGAGTCACTGGAACAACCAGTGTCAGGGTTAAATGAGGGAGTGCTTGAGATAAAGTAGTCAGTGGGTTAAGGCTATTCTCAAGGGTAAAGAGGAGGAATTTATGAAGAAGGCAAGTAAAACTTTTACATAAAGTAATGTACCATGGAATCTGTAAAGCAAAGCTGTTAGAGATACAAATATAATCCTGCCAGGCACTTTAATTCACTGTCTACTCGTCTCTTCTATAATCTCCTATCCACTGTGAGGATGATAAGCAATACATACAAAGTTATGTTTGATACCTATGCGGAGCCTGATGTCTCTTGAATAGAGAACATTTTTTCTGGAAGTCTTAGAAAAGTTGAGCACGCACTTGGCTACACAGAACAATAAAGTCAAAGGGAAAGAGGTCTTTGGAGTTCTCGTCTCTGATCATAATCCATTAATAGATATAAAAAAAGAAAGCAATGAAAGGTTTTTTACTACCTATAAGTGAAATAATTGAAATAATCTTTGTATCAAAGGATAAATCAAAAGTCAAGAGCCAGGAATAGTGGGGCACATCTTTAATTCCAACACTCGGGAGACAATAATGGGTGGATCTCTGTGAGCTGGAGTCTAGCCTAGTCTACATAGTGAGTTCCAGGGCAGCAATGGCTACATAGTGGAACCCTGACTACACATAGTATCAGCAGTAAGAAGGTCAAATGTCAAGCTGTTTAAAAGCCCACAAAAGCTCCTAGAGAGTGAAAGCTGTAGGCAGTGGGAAGTCCCCCTTGGTGCACCTTAAAGGGATGAGAGAGTGATTTTAGTGTGAAATGAAAGGAGTGACAGCCTACACTAAGGGAAATTAGAGGAGACAGTAGAGTAAAAGGCTGAAATGAGGGAGACGAACCCAGTAAGATAGGTACCCTGTATAGCTAGATCTCTGATAGGTGTAAGAGTGTGTGTTCGATAAGAAAAGTGATGATGTAACCGAGTGTAAATGAGGAAGGGACCTGTTCAGGTTACAGGGGTAGACAGGAAGACAGTGAGGACAATCTGTTCAGCTACTGGACAAAGAATTTGCAAACCCAGATGACCTAGACTTTTTTTTTTTATCAGATCTGTGTCCAAATTTGACCCAAGAAGAAACCAAAAATTTGAATTGGATAGTAGCCATATGACAGATAAGGAAGCAATTAAAGAACCAGTTCTGAAAATGGCAAAGACAGGCTATGGGACTGCAGTCGAGTTCTATGTAACTTTAAAAGAGCACATTTTACTATTGCTTACACTAGTTCGGAAGCCTCAAAGTTCCTGGTTTGTTTAAAGGATAAACACACATTTGATCCCCAAACTCCACACTGGACAGAAAAATCTTAGAGACCAATTTTGAATATAGATGAAAAAGGCTGTAAGTTTTGGCTCATCACTAGAGCCCCTTGATTGGCCTTGTGACGAGCACATTGCTTGCCACTGACGCCTATTTTACAGTCATGTAGAATAAGAAGTCATTTGAGAATTAGGAAAATTCATAATTAAGAAAGCCAACTATTAATATGTGCTCTTGATTTTAAAACTGCCCGAGTTTAATTGAGCTCTCCACTGCCCCTTCCTTCCACTGCTATGGGTGGTGTGATCCACAGCAAGTTCTGAATTGCAGACAGTTGCTGTCTCTCCTCAGAAATGCTGTGACAGCCTTCTGCTATGCTGCTCGGAGGGGTGTGCTCAGAAATTCAAATCCATTTCGAGACTTTCCAAGCCCAGTGTAACTCAAGACAGATCTACTCCCCCAATATCATGTATTAACGCTAATGAGAACAATCTGGAGATTTTCCACACCGCTGTTCTCTTTCACGGATGCTAACTACAGATAACCCACTGTGCACATGAATAAACCTTCTGCCCTTTGTCCAGAGGTCAGTAATGTCACTGTTGCTAACATCAGGCCTGCAGGTTGCACTGTGTCTTCTGCTTACCATAGACCCTGAGAATTTACATGACACACAGTAGGTATGATGGTGAGTAGTGAGTGTTTCCTGATAGTTACCTATGAATGACTTTTCCTGTGTTTATGGTGTGTGTGTGTATGTGTGTGTGTGTGTGTGTGTGTAATTGTATGCATTTCCATGCTTGCTTCTCTCTCTTAGGATTTGGACATGTTTATAGTGCCTACATCAGAGGCTTTGCATTTTATCCTACTTTGTATAGATGTGTATGCACAAGACTGGCATTGAAATGAAGATCAGAATAAACTAGTCAAACATGAAGGGCATTTGCAAAACAGATAAAGAAGTGAAAACCATCTGTTTCACTTACCAACACTCTTATCTCCAGCAAAATGCTTCCTGAGAACATGTTCTTAATGCTTATCCTTAAAACTTTCCCCAGGGAGCTGGGCATGGTGGGGCTCGGCCCCCAATCTCAACATTGTCGATCCTGAGTCATGGGCTTGCTGAACTCAGTGTCAGCTTGGGCTATGTAGTGAGTTTGGGTCCAGCCTGGGCTATATAGTAAGACTACCACAGACAGACAGACAGACAGACAGACAGACAAGTAAGCAACAGCAGGAATATTCTTAGGTGTGTTTGCGAGCACCTTGGAAGGTACTTAGCTGTTTTTTTTATAATAGTATTATGAACGAGTCCCATGTTTGAAAGAGACCAACATTTGGTACAAATTTGAAGAGATAATCTGTCCTTGCTACAGTAGACACAGTTGTAGTATGTGTCCATGTGGTACTGAGGTGTACCTCAGTGCACTTCATACACATTAGGACTAAGTTCCGTTTTTCGATGTTTGCGGATTGAACATGGACATGATACGTTTCTGTCCCAGGGCCAGAGAGGTGAAAGAGGAAGGGGGTTTCATCTGTTAGATCTAGTGCTCCTGACCCTTGGAGCTCCTGATCCTCAGAGCTCAGAAAACACCATGAAGCCGTTCTCAGAAACACCTTCTCAGTGATCTGTTTGCTCTATTCCAATCACCATTTTTTCTTTTCTTTGTAGATCCTACAACTGTCCTTTTAAAATATGTGTCAGAGACAGCATCAAGCAGGAGCTGAAAATGTGAATTGTGATTCTCTCCGGTCTTTTCCAGCCCTCCCAGCCTCCTTGCCTGACTCAGATGACGTGATGTTCAGAAGTATTCCTTAATCCAAGTCGCTGCCCAGCCAGGCACACCTACAAAAGATTGCATCCATAACTCAAGATGGCCAGTCAGCCGCCGGAAGAGCCTGTGGAGTCTCAGGTCCCGGATGAACTTGAGTGTAAGATCTGTTACAATCGGTACAACCTGAAGCAGAGAAAGCCCAAGGTTCTGGAGTGTTGTCACAGGGTCTGCGCCAAATGCCTCTACAAGATCATAGACTTTGGGGACTCTCCCCAGGGTGTCATCGTCTGCCCTTTCTGCAGGTTTGAGACATGCCTGCCGGACGACGAAGTCAGTAGCCTGCCTGACGACAACAACATCCTTGTAAACTTGACTTGTGGAAGCAAAGGGAAGAAATGCCTTCCTGAGAACCCCACCGAGCTGCTGCTCACCCCCAAGAGGCTGGCTTCCCTTGTCAGCCCTTCCCACACATCCTCCAATTGCTTGGTTATCACTATCATGGAGGTGCAGAGAGAGAGCTCCCCGTCTCTCAGTTCCACCCCTGTGGTAGAATTCTACAGGCCAGCGAGTTTCGACTCTGTCACCACCGTGTCCCATAATTGGACGGTGTGGAACTGCACCTCGCTGCTCTTTCAGACGTCCATCCGAGTGTTGGTGTGGTTGCTTGGTTTGCTGTACTTCAGCTCCTTGCCCTTAGGGATCTACTTACTGGTGTCTAAGAAAGTCACCCTGGGGGTGGTCTTCGTTAGTCTTGTCCCCTCTAGCCTTGTCATCCTTATGGTATATGGTTTCTGCCAATGTGTCTGTCATGAATTTCTGGACTGTATGGCACTTCCTTCTTAATCAATATGCAACACAGGCACATATGGCTACATTCAAATGATGTACGTATGATTTGATTTCTTTTGTATTCTCTACGATTAGTGTCTCCAGCCTCAACAAAGCCCTTGGCCATATGTCTGTGGTCCATTTTCCCATCCAGATTTTGGCTTGATGGGTTTTCCTGGATTCTGAAAATTAAAAATAGAAAAGTTCACTTCTATCTTGGGGCTAGCAAAGAGGCAAAGCTATGCATGCATAGCTTTCCTGGAGCCCAGATACCTGTGAGATATCCCAGAACAGAGGCGTAGGCCCAGGGAGTGGTTTCAGACAGGTACCAGGCAAGGTGTGTTACATGGTGGCAGGTTCTTTGGGCAAAGGTGGGGATGAATGGAGCCCTCCTTGAAGTTAGGTATCCCATGATGTTGGGTAGATGTCAGAGGCAGGCTGCTCTAAAACACATGGGAGTGACCTTCATTTTCCTGGCGCTGGAGCCCCTCATTGTCTTCAGGTGCTTTCTCTCTTGGTGTAATGCTTCTCTGAAGTCTGCTGCCTCCTTTCAGATGCCTTTCGCTTCTGTGCTGTCCCCCCTGTCCCAGGGTTCCTCAACCTCATCTTCTTGGGTGGTTCCTGCAGGATACCTGTTTTGGCAGGTTGCCATAGAAGTTAGACATCACTGAGGAGTTTGCACGGAGTACCTCATGCCAGGGCATGGCTGTTTATCTTCAATACGCGTCTTTTCCTCCACGTGTGTTTTTCTCCCAGGCTTCTCTGGGAAGATTTGAGCAGTTTTTGCATGTGGAAATAAATATTCACTGGAATAATTCCTTAAAGCGTGAAAATGCTTCAGTTAGATTAAAATGTTTTGTTTGATTTCTAACCACGGTCCTCAACTAGCCTCACCCCTTATCCTGAACAAAGTTCCATTTAAATTAGTTGCTATCAGTTTATGAAGGTTTCATCTCTTCCCCCTTGTTTTAGAAGTTTGCATAGGTCTGACTTTACTGACTCCTCCGTTGCTCTGGGGGAACCTGTGATAGGGAAAGCCCAGCAACAGGCTGCCAGCTGCCCTGGTGCCAGGCACTGGGAACCCAAGTGTTCGGCTGAGCGGTCCTGGAGTTCAAGTTTATGTCCAATGGAAGTCCGTGCAAAGCCACGCCAAGCTGATGCCTTGCTTCAAGTGGAGTGGAGGTGGCTAAGTACAGCTTACTCATGGCTGCTTGCTATTCAGTCAGTTTGGGGATAGATTTGAGTCCTTAATTTATTTTCTGTAAAGGCATACGCTTCGTGGCTTGGGGTGGACTCCTTTTCATGAAGTGAGGGTGGGGCAGAGGCGATGTTGAATGTATATACTTATGGGAATAAGTTGCCTAGCAGGTTTTAGGTGGGGGAATAGAATATTCACTAGGCAAAAGGAGGAAAGAGTGCTTCTTAGTCTCTGAGACTTATTACTGATGACTTAATACAATATCCATAATGCTTAGCAAAGGGCTTTACCAAGATTTTATTAACTAATTTGTGGTGAAATATTTGTTGTGTGACATAGTTGCGGGGTGGGGGCAGTTCTAACCTCCCCACTGAGGGAAAATGGGTACTTATCTAGAATAGGAGTTTTGTTTTAGTTGTATAACTACTGACTTTGAGAACGTATATGCCCAAGGTATATGAAATGAGAAAGTATATGTGGGGGTGTGGTCCAATGAAATTTCAACCCCAACTTAGAGTTAAATACATTTATGATTCCAGAAACCCTAGATTTAGGTAGTGTTGTGGATGCGGTTTCCAGAATTCCATTTGCACTTTGAGTAAATACAATATTTAAGAGGCTTTGTGGTTTGGATTTATATATTTATAAGGTTTCCTTTTTAGAGATGCTCACTTTGTAACACTGAGTGACCGCAGGAAGATATTTCCAGAAGGCTCCAGACCAACTCTGTGTTTTGCTACTTTGTGTGGTGTCTGCAGTGCTTGAATTTGTTTCTGTGTGCGCTGTGGCAATATTTTCCTTAATGCCAGTGTGTTGATTTTTTTAAATGTATGACGACAAAGACAACAACAACAACAACAACAACAACATAAAACAACATAACTCTCCACGCTGTTGAATGGAAAGGGTAATCCTTTAATGGTGTAATCTCTATGCTAATCTTTTCTTGTCTATTAAATTTTGTTATTTCTAAATGAGGTGTGTGGTTTCTCTGATTTATGGCTGAGATGCTACCATCACTTTAGATAGTTGCAAATGTGAACTTTTGTTAAATCAATGCCTTTATCATCCACATGGAGATTTTGGAAGCTCCCCACAAAGCTAACCTCACCTATCTCATTTCTACAAAGCCCCTCATCTTTTTTAAGTGGTGTAGAAGATGAAATAAAAATATTATCTTTATATGTGAAATGTTTTATTTGCTTTGATTTAATTAACGTTCAAAATAGAATAACAAAATAGAATCTAATGAAGTAAAGAAATCTCTTACTTGTATAGTCCAGACAAACTAGAAAAAAAAAAAGACACCAAAACTACTAGTCATGATCACCGTTGAGTAATTTGGCAGTTCTGTGTTCCTGTTAGCAAATTAGCACTACACATCCGTCAAGAAAAACAGTCTAATGTGCTTCAGAAATCTTCATATAAGTGACCCAAGAAGCAGGTGGAGGAAGAGGGTTCCCTTCTCCCATGTGATTATTCCGTGAACTCAGATGTTGTTGAGAGACCAGGGAGCAGTGCACATTTGCAGGGCTTTGAGCATTGTGGAAACCATGATGAAACTTCTCAGTGTGTTAATCTGACAGATGCAAAAGCAGAGGAATCCTGACGTTGCTAGATGAGCAGATGGACTCAAGAGGGGACCTCAGAGGAAGGGGCCTCGAGGGAGCTTGGAAGAGTACAATGGAGGCAGGTGCGTTTTTTTCTTTATTCTTTTCTTGCTGACATAGTCTCAAAGGTTGCCTTCACTTGTTGGAATACTTTAGTCAGACTATGTATTATTCTAGAACTTTCCTCAAAACCAACAGCGGCAGCCTTGGATTCAGGTAAAATCCCCGAGTTTAACCATTTGTTCTTTCAGCTTGTATTTTACGTGTTTTCCACATCTCCGCCCTCTTCTTATATAATCATCTTTATTTCAATACCCGTTGTAAAGTTTTACTCCTGTAGGCTTAGTACTGGGTCTTTCCTTGTAAGTATATTTTTGTCTAAAACCTATTTCCTTTTAGAAAAAAAAATGATTTATGATTTTATGTGTCTGGATGTTTTGCCTGCACATGTGTCTGGAAACCCTGTGTATGCCTGGTGCCTGAGGTCAGAAGAGGGTGTTGCATCCTCTGGGACTGGAGTTACAGATGACTGTTCCAAGATCAACAAGTATTTTTAACCACCGAACCGTTTCTGCAGCACCTAAAAGATGCTGATTTCAAATGTCAAGGATAAAGGTTGAAATGTGAATAAATTCTAAATGAGTCTCAGACACATTAACGACTAACCCCAGTTTCTTATATGAGTTAAATACATGGAATAATCCAAAACTAATTGCAGTCACTATATATGGTCAGAAATTAAACTACAGCCTCAGTACTATAATACTAAGTTGGGGTATGTGATAACTTACTTTTAAAAGTGGTTGGGCCTTGATTTAATTCAAATATTCAATATACAAGACAATTGCCTGGGTAGCATTTTAATCAATCAGGTGTTTATTGACTGTACTGTTTGTATTAGGAATTTCAGGGGAAAGTGTCCTGGATCAGCAGGTTGTCTGTGACCTTGTTGTTCTCATAAAGTGTAAAGAAAGTTGTTTTGTATGTTTGTGTCTATGCCCCTCAGGGAAGAGCCCCGGCCTGAAGTCCTGACTTTACAAAGCAGCTGAGGTTGTGGGAGTGGAGAGATGCTGAGGCAGAGCAAGAAAAGCACCAAACATGAGCTCCCCAAGGCTGGAACTCTGAATACTCAGGGGAGGGTGCTGGAGAGAAGATTCTGGAACAGCCAGGGGGAAGGATGGAAGCCAGAGACTGTATGTTCATCAGACCCAAGAGGAATAAGGTGGAATTAGAATCATTAAGTCAACACACATAGAAAGAGGTTTCAGATTGGTTTATAACAGCAACAACAAAAAAAACCCAATCAAACCAAACCAAACAAAAACAAACCCAACCTAACAACAACAACAACAAAACATAGATAAGCTTTTCCCATGGAAACTTGCAAATGTATGGAATGAAGTGTATGAAACAGAGCAATTATTGCTGGTTCCCTTAGCACCCAGTGTTAGAATCTAAACTAGCTGGGTTTGTTTTCTGAGTTGAGTAAATGTATAACGTGTAATTTCCAGTTTAACACTTCCCCTAATTCTTCCCAACACAATCTCACTGTACTTGAGCCAAAAAAAAAAAATCATCTTTTTGGAAGGTCATTAGATATATTTTGGACCAAGATAAGGTAATTCTGGGAGCTGGCTTCATGTTAATTCTATCTGGATGTTAATGCATTAAACTTTTATTGTCAGTCTCCAGATTAAAATGCTTGCCTTCTCACAGAATTTTTAATGAATTTTAGTTATTTTAGGAACACATTTGCTTGAGATGTTTTGAATGCTAAGGAACTCTATTAGCCAATAAATGAACATCTATTTTTGATGTGTGTTAAACCCAAACTCCCCATACTCTTCCTTTTAATCCCTCCCCATTTCCTGATTTCTTTTAATGTCATTTATGGAGGAACTTCATGTACCCATTATCATCCTCCTGCATACATATGCACACACACAACACACATGTGTATCTACACAAATGCATATGTACACACATACATTCTTACGCATTTTAGGAAACAGCTGTGAAAGAGAACCGTGTTAGTCTATCATGGTTCCATATTATGGTACCATAAATAAACTGCTTTTATTTATCCAGGTAAGTAATGTTGAAAACATTATTATTATTATTATTATTATTACCACTAATTACTCTTTTTCCTGTTCATTGAGTGGTGTTCTCAGCTGTTTGCCTCAGAGACAATTCCTGCCTCTTTTCCTGTGTTCAACATCACTGAGCAATGGAAATTATCCTAGCCAAACAATGGGCTTATTCGCTGACATTGCTTCTGTCTGATGTGCTGTTTCTCAATATCCCAGCCAGAACTAACTGTACAGCTGATGATTAAATTGATGGCCATACATTTTCTTTGGCTAGATCTTCAAAT